TGTATCCCAAAACCTTACATCCTGTAACGTATTATTAGATCACACAATTATTTTTAAAAAATAGACTTACTTTTTGGAGTACTATTACTTTCACATCAAAGGACAAAGAAAGTACAATGTGTTTTCAGGGACTCCGTTCCCCCATACCTGCTCAGCCTCCCCATTCCCTCTATTGTCCACATTTACATTTTCATAGCTTTTTTTTTTTTTTGCATAAATTCTTTTATTGGTACATTTTAGGTATACACCATGTTTACATTTATCATTGGGTGCTTGTACCTGTACATGATGTATCTTGGTTCTTAATTTTTCCCCATTACCTATGCGCCCTTCCCCCCCTCCATCCTTCCCTATTTTCATAGAGAAATATGGAACGCTTCGCGAATTTGCGTGTCATCCTTGCGCAGGGGCCATGCTAATCTTCTCTGTATGGTTCCAATTTTAGTATATGTGCTGCTGAAGCAAGCGCTAAGTTGGAATTCTTTAAAAACTTAAAAGGATAAAAAGATAATGGCAGATGCAGGCAAAAATCTTTACAAAACATATATCTGATAAAGGATTGGTATCCATAATAGATGAAGAATTCTTAATACTAAACAGTGTGAAAACAGCCCCTTTAAAAAATAGGTAAAGATCCGAGCAGACACTTTATGAAAGAAGAGACATAAATGGCAAGCAGGCATACGGCAAGATGCTCAACATGCATGCCATTAAGAGTATTTCAAATTAAGACAGCAGCACTACACCTCTATTAGAATGGACAAAATCCAGAATACTGGCAACACCAAATGATGGCAAGGATGTGGAGTAACAGAAACTCTCTCATTCCTTACTGGTGGGAATGCAGAATGGTACAGCCACTTAAGACATTTTAGCAGTTTCTTACAAAAATATGCATACTCTTATGTATGATTCAACAGTCACACTCCCTAAGAGCTGAAAATTTATGTCCACACAAAAAACTCCCAGATGTGGTGGCGCACACCTGTAATCCTAGCACTTGGGAGGCTGAGGCAGAAGATCACTGTGAGTTGGAAGCCAGCCTGGGCTATACAAGGCCAGCCTGAACTACATAGCAAGACCCTCTCACCAAACCAGAGCAAACCACGCTACATCATACCACACCACACCACAGACTTTAGTGGTAGATGCATACATACTATTTGTAAAACCCATAGAATGTACATGAATAGTAAACCCTATGTAAACTATGAATGTTAATTAATAATAGGGGGAACTATGGTGAGAAAGAGTATGTGGGAATTTCTCCGCTTTCCACTGCTTATCTGTAAACCTAAAACTGCTAAAAATATAAATTTATAGAAAAAAATGCCCAATAGAAAACAAGATACATAATGCATACACATACATTCACATAAATATATTCCACCTGTTGCATAAAGCTAATTTTACTAAGTATAGCCAATTACTACATTTCTAAGCTCAGGTTTTTTTTTGTTGCTGGGGAACCGAGGATCAAACTCAGGACCTTGTGCTTGCCAGGCAGGCATTGGCGCCACTGAGCTAAACCTCTGGCCCTAAGCTCAGTTTTTTTTTTTTTTTTCAGAGAAATGTATGTATAGCTGTTACTTTAAAAATGTTTTTTATATGACACTAGGAAATCAGAGGTGTTTTTTTTTTTTTTTGAAAGCATTAAGTGTACACTATTTGTTAGATATTATTAGATATTTTTGTGTAACTCATTTGATTTAGTTTGAAATAAAGCCTAGTCATCCCATTGCAGTGATGAGGAAACTCAGGCTTAGAGAAGCCGCAAAGCTGCCACTTGAATTGACTTATCTTCAAAGTGTGTGTTACATGGTCCTGATAATTCCTGTAGATTTGTCTTTTGAAATAAAAATAACTAAAGTTTGTTCCTTAATGTAAATGTAAATGCCTTTTAGACAATATTAAAAGATTATCTAGATTTGACTTGGCTGTACTGTTTACTTTCTTTGTGATTTAATTAGGTTGTATTATCTTTATGCTTTAGTTTCTTTATGTGTTAAATGGAGACAGTAATTGAGATTGTTGTGAGCATTAAATGAGTGATTGTATGAAATCATTTAGAACAGTGTCTGGTACAAAGTCTTGAGTTCCGTAAGTGTTATTTATTAATTAGTAATGGAATATTTTCACATCTTATAAATAAAAGACATGAACCAAGGAAATGAAGTGACTTTCTGAGTCTTATAGCTATTAAATGGCAAAGTTGGTTTTAAAAAAAAAATTCAAGGTTAGAGTTTTATTCACCAAATTTTTTTTTTTTCAGAGCAGGTCTTGCCATGTAGTTCAGGCTGGCCTTGAACTTGTGATCCTCCTACCTCAGCCTCTCGAGTGCTGGAATTACAGGCATGTGTGACCACATCCAGCACTTGATCATTTTTTAAAAAAGGGAAACAACAAAAAAAACTCTTTAAAAAAACTTGAAAAATAACTTTAAAAAAACTCTTTAAAAACTGTTTAGCAGTTTCCCATCTGCTTGGAGCATTTCAAGTAGTGTGTTTTTTCCCCCCATCAGCTTAATATAGTGGGGAAAAAGCATTGGCTTAGAACAGTGGTGGTGAACCTGTGGCATGTGTGCTGCAGTAGGTACGCATAGACCTCTGTTGGCATGTGAGCCAAGTGTATGAGTTGTTTTTTCTAAACTAAAACCTCAGGATTCAGGTTTAATTGCAGTATTGGCACTTCGCGATAAATAAGTGGGTTTGAGGTTGCAGTTTGGGCACTTGGTCTCTAAAAGGTTTACCGTCACTGGCCTAGGATATAGATTCTAGACATTCTAGATGTTTTGTCCCTGGTTGGCCGTGTGACCTTAATATCTGACTCTGTTTCATTTATAATCTGAGGGTGGGTTTGGGTCAGATGATTTTTAAGTTCATTTTTTTTTAAAGTTCATGTTATAGCTCCCATAGAATGTGATTCTGAGCTACTGGGCCTTCTATTGTGGATTATTGCACTATGCTGACATACTGTGATGTTCACAGAGGTTCTTGAAGTATGCACAGGGTAGCCATTCTCTGTGCTGAATGACTATGGTGATCTTGATTTCTCCACCACATCAGATTTTCTTAGCATTGTTTTCACCTTTTCTGGTTTCAGTCTGCTTTTTCAAATGGCTGGATTATTGTATTGGCTTCCCCCTTTTATAAAGTTTGTAGACTTTCAGTTTCAATTGACCACAAAGAAATGTTGGTTTTGTTTTGTTTTTGTTTTTGTTTTGTTGCCAACTAGATTTCACAGCTATTTACTGAATGAATATCTAAAAATGAAATAGGGCTGGGAATGGGAGATGTCGAAGACTTTATAAAGTTGTGTGTATGTGTGTGTGTGCACAGTACTAGGGATTGAACCCAGGGCTTTGTGCATGGTAGACAAGTGCTCTATTACTGAGCTACGTCCCCAACCCTTTTTTATTGTATTTTGAGACAGATTCTCATTAAGTTGCCCAGGTTGGGATAAATTTGTGATCTTCCTGCTTTAGCCTGCCAAATAGCTGGGATTATAGGCATGTGTCACAGCACCTGGCTGTTTAGTATAGACTTATATGGAAGGTATAATTTTAGTGACAAAAGTGTTTTTCAGGTATCTCTTACCATGGGGGCTTATGGTTTAGTTTTTATCTTGGTTATACAGAAGCATCCTATAAATTGTAGCACTTTTTTTTTTGGTACTGGGGATTGAACTTGGGTCCTTGTGCTTGTAACACAGACCATTTTTAAAGAACCTATACGGTTAAACATATGTAGGTGTGTGTGTGTGTGTGTGTGTGTGTACGTACATGTATGTACTTAAATCAGGCAGGTGCTACACCACTGAGTTACATCTTCGGCCCTGTGTACTTAAATCAAACTTCACTAGCATATTTCAGGAGGATTTTTCTAAGCCACAGTTAGAGGAGTTGGTTATAGGACATAGATAGTTTGTGTAAGGTCATAGTTGAGTGCCATTTGACTACAGTTATGGGTCTTTTTCTCATTTGAAATATCGAGGAGTGTTAAATATAACATAACTTTTCCAGTCCTAAAATCCAAAAAGAAATTTCTTAAGGGAATAACTGTAATATTAAGAAACTGTTACTATTAATAGTCTTTAAGGGAATTGCTTTATTTAAAGAAAAAATATTTAGACAAAGAGCAGGCTTTTTTCTTTGTGAATTTGCATGGTATGCAGCATGTAAGTTACTTCCTCTGATATCTGTGTCAGTAAAGAGTGTTGTTTTGATATCTGTCCTTGTTTGTTTATACAGGTTGGCTTACAGCTTGAGGATTTCATTAGTACTCAGAAGTTACTTTTACCTTCTCTAGAATGTAATACAGTCTCATAAAGGTGTGACTAAAGATGGTAGCAGAATGATGATTATGGCTTCTGAGCAGAAATAAGCTGTGGGATTTTGGTGAGGGACGTACAGGGGTAATGAATTCAGAGTCTAGTGAGATTCTAGGATTCTGGCCTAGGGTGTGTAGAGGCAAGAGGATATTGGGTCTTTTGGGAATTAGGGGGCAGAGCCAATAAAGCATTTTGAATTTTAGGCCTAAAAATAATCAAAAGGGCAAACATTATGCCAACATATACTGTCTAATGGAAAAGCATCATGAGAGAGCCAATGGTATCGTATTTTGAGGTGACTTATCTATGGAATTTTCGCATAGGTCTGGCTTCATACCAATTTCTCATTGAAAGTCTGATGGTTAGTTGCATCATTGTTGCCACCAGGAGCAGTATCGCTCTTTTAGGTGGTGTTCCTTGAGTGCAAGTCAGCTAGCTGCCCGGGCCTTGTGGCTGTGGAAAGGGTTGGTTTTTGGGCCATATTATATCTTGTAGGTTCTTGGGCCCAGGTCTTCAAAGGATGTTAACTTTTTGTTTGAAATTAAACAATTTTCCTCCATATACTTTGTTTCTTTTAAATCAGTGACAAGTTTATAGGCTCCGCACTCAGATATGAAACTCATTGTAATTTTTAAGCATTTTGAAAAGTTAGTTTTCCCCTTCTCTTACAGGTGTATTCCAGAGAAAAGTCTTCAAACATCTTTGCTGTATTTGATGCTGAGAGACTGTCAGGGGACTCAGGCTTATGAGGAGGTACTGTCACACAAAACAGTGTCTAGTGAAGGCGACAAGAAAGAGAGGAAAAGATCGGAAAAAGAAGCTAAAATACTATAGAAAACCATGGTAGGTTACTCCTTACATTTTCTTAATTTCTTACCTACAAACGATTCTAGTAATTTAAAACTAGAAGCATTAACATTGAAGGTGTGGGAAAAACAATGGTATTAAGTTTTGGCTGTGCTGTATCAGATAAAGATGTCACTCTACTATTTAAGCAAAGCAAATGAGTTCAGATTTATTACTGAGTCCTTTAAGCCCCAAGATGGAGCCGCATGAGCCTGCAGGCCATAAATTATTGAATACAAGGAGGGAATGCTCATAAATAATGTTTTCTAATAAAACTGGTCTTAGCAAACCAGTACGCATAGCTGGGTGGCCTTGAACTTGAAATTACGTTTTATTTAGTATTCTACCTCAATGAAGTTCAGTTTTTTCCCCATGGAAATTAAAAATCCTGAACCAGTCTTTTAATTGGTCATATGAATGGTTCAGGAGTTTGTAAAATATATATTTAACCCAAAAAGTTACCCTTTCACATGTTTTTAAAATAACAGGGTAAAGGTTGTATTCATGGGCTGCTGAGCTAAATATCAAGGCAAGCTTGTGATTGGATGAGTGTTCAGACTTGGATTTCTGATGTTACATGAGGTCCTGTCTTCAGTTTTGAATTGCTAAAATGTGCTGATTTTTTCTCCTTAGTATTTTGCATCTGGATGATATTGTTTATGTTTTTCCTAAGTATAATGAGAAAGGATTTTAAAAAGACATCATGAGTGGGGGAAAAAGCACAAAATATTCATTTGTCAATGTGTTTGGAATACATTCTTTAGTAAATCTGATGGTGTATCTTTTAAATGCTACTTGCTTTTAAAAATATTTGTGCCCAAAATCACATGTTAACTTGCTCTTTATAGAGAAAGAATCTTAACGTCTTAGATCTGAGTGGTGGGAAAAAAGAGTGTTAACTTGGGGGTTTTCCCTGTCATTTTAGTTTTATGGTGAAATGTGAAAAAAACACATTGTGACTTGTGTTGCCTCCCATGTGAAGTATTTGCCCTTTTGGCTTTTTTTGTTTTTTATTTTTGGAGACAGGGTCTTGCTATGTAGTTGAGCCTGGCCTTGAACCCACTTTGTAGCCCAGGCTGACCTCAAACTCATGGCAACTCTCCTGCCTCAGCCTCCCAAGGTGGCTTTTTTCTTGTAGTCTTAATAGCTGTATCATTGTATGCATATTGTCATAGTTGGTAGAATTTCTTTTCCCATTTATTCTTTCACAATTTAGCCTAGATTGTCTGGTGATTCTATTTTTAATTTCTTTAATTGGAAAATGGTCACATTTTCCATTTCCCCTCTTGCTTGTTTCCTAGCTCTGACATTTGAGTGAGAGTTCTTCTGATTTGATTTTTTAATACTTGAAAAAAATCTGTTTGGAGCTTATTTGTGTAAGTAAGCCCCCCGCTCCCTCATTTTGGGGATAGACCATTGTGTTAGTTCTTCCTTTCACCATTATTTCATCATGCTTATTCTGTCATGGCTCAGTAGACTTTTGGTTTTTTGTTGTTCTTTTTTTTTTGGTACCAGAGATCGAACTCAGGACTTGGTGCTTGTGTGGCAGGCGCCAGAACCACTGAGCTAAATCCCTGGCCCTAAGCTAAATCCCTGGCCAGATTTTTGGTTTTAACCTTGGAGTTTTTTCTTTTTCTTAACATTTTTTTGTTTTTTTGAGGCAGAGTTTTATTACATAGTTCAGGCTAGCCTTGAAGTCTGTCTCTATGTGGCCCACAAACTTGGGCCACATAGAGACAAACTTGTGTCTTCAAACTTGTGGTGATTGTCCTGCCTCAGCCTGCCAAGTGCTGGGATTACAGGTGTGCACACCACCAAACCTCGCCTCTTTTATTTTTCTCTTAAAACTCATTGGCAGTCTGAGTTAATTGTGAGACATCACGTTTGGTTTTTTAAAAATTGTAATTTTTTATTAGTACATGTTTGTAGTACATGATGATTATATTCCTTGTGGGGAGTTGCTTGCCTATACATGGCATACCTTAATTCCTTTTTCATCCCCTTCCATTCCCTTCCCCTTTCCTCTCAAATGTTTGTGTAATGCAGTAATATGTAATTTTGTTTAGATGGAACTCATGATATGTTTTGTTTTCTTGTTATTTGTTCTGGGGTAGTAAGTATATCTAGTGAAACAATTAAAAAGGTTCTTTGTTGAAAAAGGCTCCATTTGGAAAACTGGTCTGGATGTCAAGCAAGAAAGAAATCTAGACAGTTGGTTTTTATTGAGAAAAAAGAAAGCTATATGATCGATACTAGTCCTGAATTTATATGATGGTTGAGATTTTTAAAGGATTACTACCTTTTCAGTTATAGTTTGCTTAACTTTTTAGCAGACAGTGACACTGTAGTGTCAGTTGTTTAATTTCCAAATTACTATGATTTTTCAATATTGATAATCAAACAAGAGGCAGGACTAAATAATTGTGAACGTTTTATTTTGTGGTGAAGACTTGAAAACAAAATATTTATCATCTGTCAGTACAGAATTGCAGGTAAATACAGACACTATCACCACCCCTTAATGGAATACTTTGGGCTTATGGAAAACATATTGAGTTACCCTTTTGCAGTTTGGTATACTGATAACAAGTATCTTCATGATATTTGTAAACTTGGAAATAGTAAAAAGCTTTAGAGGTGTGACTCATGAATGTGAAGGATCTGCTCTGTTTAATTTTGTGAAATTCACTCTATTTCTGGACATTTAGTTTTCTCCACTGATTTCTGGGCCAGCATGTCACGTTAACTATTGCTTTTTAAAAGTTTTTGATATTTCATTATAATGGTACAATTTTTTTTTTTTTTACCGGGGATCGAACTTGGGACCTTGATTCATCCATCTTTGTAGAATATTTCTTGATTCTGTCATTGAGTTTTATTTTTCCAAATGAGCTTCAAAATATTGTTGAAGTTTAAGTAAATCATATCTGAGGAGATTTTTTGTTTGTTTGTTTATACAGGGTCATGCTGTGTAGTCTAGGTTGACCTTGAACTCACTGTGGAGCCCAGGCTGGTCTTGAATTCGTAGGTGATCCTCCTGCCTCAGCCTCCCAAGTGCTGGGATTACAGGTGTCCAGCAGTTCTGAGGAGATTTTGATTCAGAATGAAATATGTACATGTGTAAACTAGCTTGGGAACTTGTTTTGCAGTATGTGTTTTTCTCATTCTGGAATTTGGAATGTCTTGTGCTATTCTATTTGAAAAAACTAAAGCTTTGCACCAAGGGTGTAAATGTCAAATATTGAATAGTATTTCCATGTTTCCCATAGTTCACACATAACTTTCTATTGTATATTTTGAGTGGCTTTGCAATTTCAAATTTTTAAGATGTGAAAGTCTTCAGTAGTTTGAAAGGTAGTGGCTGGGTTTCATGAGTCAACATCATGCATTTCTGGAGAGTTCCTTCAAACTAGAAATATCTGATTCTTACAGATATCATGTGATATGGATGACTTTTCGCTCCCCCCCCCCCACCTTTCCTTTTCTCTCCTTTCTTGGGATCAAACCCAGGACCTCACACATGCTAGGCAAGTGCTATACCACTGAGCTCTACTTCCAGCATGGAAGATCTCTTTCGAAGAAGTATTCAGAAGCATAGGTTCAGCTGAAAGACAGAGAGCATATGCACAATGCTGAATATGACCTAAGTGAACCTTAACGGAAACATAAGTGAAAGACCATTGATTTTCTGGTTTGGCAGTATTAAGATGGGTTTTAGTTCCTATTCCTGAGCAATTTTATTTTGATATCAACTGCTTTATAATGGTTTGCCAGTGCTGTGGGTTGACTTAAAATATATTTGTATGTCATCCTTGTCAGGTGTCATTTCTTTTATTGAAGTAATTGGTTCTTTTTCCTTCTGACAGAGATCTATTCGATCTTTTGCCAATGATGATCGCCATGTTATGGTGAAACATTCAACAATCTATCCATCTCCAGAGGAACTTGAAGCTGTTCAAAATATGGTGTCTACTGTTGAGTGTGCTCTTAAACATGTCTCAGATTGGCTCGATGAAACAAATAAAGGCACAAAAACAGAGGGCGAGGCAGATGTGAAGAAAGATGAGGCTGTAGAAAACTATTCCAAGTGAGTGTGGACTGGCCCTCCTGGAGCACAGAAAAGCTCAGTCCTTCGATTGAGTTTGTGATAATGTTGTTCTTTGTGTTATCTCATGTATATGACTATAACAAAGGAAGTAAATGCTATATGCAATTTTTCTAGTTAAATTTGAAAGGAATGAAAGGAGCAGTGATTAAAGCCCCAAAAAGAAAATGGACAAAAGAGAGTATACCAAGTATTTAAAATTCTTTAATGTTTGAAAGTTATGACATATCATCTTTTTTACTGTGTCAGTTTAGCCCCCTAAATTCTGAAAGTCATGATTTTGCTGGGGGTGGGGGATTTCTGGAGTAGAAAACTGGAAACATGTATTTTAAATACATTTTGACTGTATCTATCTTGTTCATTCATAAAATACAGCACAGTGTCTTGCGTATCGTAAATGTTCATTGTGTATTTGTGAAATGAAGGAAGGGCTAATAGCAGCCAGAACCTTCAACAGTTGCAGTGAAGTGTTCTAGGCATTGTCAGGATAGTTGTGATCAGTGAGATGAAACTGCAGTGGTAACTGTTACTGTCCGGAGCAGTGGCACTATAACAGGAATATGTGTATGACTGACTTTGAAAGATGAAGATCATTTGATTGATTATACCATATTAATAGGCTTAAAGATCACTTTGGCTACAACTTTTTTTTTTGGTGCCGGGGATCGAACTCAGAACCTTGGGCTTGCAAGGCAGGCAGCGGAACCACTGAGCTAAATCCCCGGACCCTGGCTACAACTTTTGTAAATGGAAGACAGAAGTTAACAGAATTTCTTTCTCCAGGTTTCAATTCTAAATCAGCATGATAAGTAGGTAAGAGTAGTGTGAAAGTACTGGAAAATTGGTTTTCTTCACCAAAATTTTTTTGTCTTCAGTTGAAAGACAGTGACAGATTTTTGCTCTAGAAGGTGATTTTTTTTTTTTTAATTTACACTCTTAATTGTTTACAGGTAGTTTATACATTGTGTCTGGCATCAGTTTGAAGGTTTTTGGAAATGACTTAATTTTTCTCCTGTATGATGGCTTAAAAAATGATTTTGGGGGCCGGGGATTTAGCTCAGTGGTTCCGCTGCCTGTCTCAAAAGCTGCCTCGAAAAGAGCAAGGACCCGAATTCTATCCCTGGTACCAAAAACAAACAAATAAAAACAAACACAACAACAACAAAAAGATTTTGGCTGGGTGTGGTGGCACACACCTGTAATCCCAGCACTTGGGAGGCTGAGGCAGGAGGATTGCTGTGAGTTTGAGGCCAGCCTGAACTACATAGCAAGACCCTGTATCAAAAAACCAAAAAAATGATTTTGCCCAACTTAGAGTTCTTGTTAACTAGTCATATTATCCAGTGATTGAAGCTGTGGTATTCTTCAATGATGTCTGGCTCTCTATAGTCTGTTTCCTGTGCAAGTTAGTTAAGTATTCTAGATTTTGATTATACTTTGGTATGTTTGTCATTTTTTAAACTTTTAAAACAGTAATTGTACACGTATATAAACTATGTGTGTATGTGTAAAATTTGTTTTTACGTTTTACTTAAAATTTGTTTTTGGTACTGCGGATTGAACCTAGAGCTCTTGCAGTGAGCCATACCCTCACCTGTTTTGTGTTTTGAGACAGGATCTTGTTAAATTGCCCAGGCTGGGCTGTAATTTGTAATCTTGCTTCATCTCTGTCAAAGTGCTGAGATTATAGGCATGTGCCACCATGCCTGTAGCTTCTTTATATCATTTTTAAGTATATATTTCAGTGCTGTTCAGTACTTTTAAATATATCTTTTAATGCCTTTGTTTTTCCCTTTTCAGGCTGGTATATATTTGGACAGTGTCACATTGACTTTTGGTTAACTGGATGAAGTCACTATTTCTTCTTTGAGACAGGGTCTCACTATGTAGCCCAGGCTGGCCATGAATTCACAATGATCTTCCTGTCTCAGCCTCCAGACTGCGGGGATTACAAGTGTGTGCCATCACGCCTGGCTACAATCCTGTTCCTGAAAGACATGTCTGCCTCTGTTTTATACAAAATGAGAAGAATCATTCTGTACTTCTTGAGTTCCACCACGTGGGAAGAATTACAGACAAGTCCTCAACTTGGGACCATTCCACAAATGGAAAGACTACACAGAAACCAAGAGCCAGGCGGGCATGGTGGTGCATACCTGTGATCTCAGCACTTGGGAGGATTACAAGTGAGGCAGGAGGATTGCTATGAGTTTGAGGCCAGTCTGAACTACGTAACAAGACCCAGTCTAAAAAAGAAAAAACAAAGATAGAGTTGTGTTTCAGCTACAGACTTTTAAATCGAGCTCCTGACACACAAGTGAGTGAGAGCAAGGGTAGATTTATTAAGCACCTCCTAGTGAGTGCCAGGCACTGTTAAACAGTTATTGTCTGTACTCTCTTATTTTAATCTATTATTTTACATTTAAAAAAAAAAATGACTCAGGGCCAGGGATTTAACTCAGTGGTTCCTGCACTTGCCTTGCAGATGCAAGGTCCCGAGTTCGATCTCCGGTACCAAAAAAAAAAAAAGACCCAGAAGTCAAATCAATGGCAGGATTTCCTACAATTTGTGTTATTAGAAATATTAGAACTCTTTTTTTTTTTTTTAAGAACTCTATTCTTAATTTTAAGTAGTTCATTGTATTTGAGTTGCTTGCTTTACAATAATTGGCATATTCAGGGCTGGGGATTTACCTCAGTGGTTCTGCCGCCTACCTCGAAAGAGCAAGGTCCTGAGTTCGATCCCCAGTACCAAAAAGAAAAAAAGAGAGAGAGAATAATTGGCATATTCAGATTTAGTATTAAAGTTCAGAACTATTTAAATTAGGTTAGGACTTAATTTCTCTGCTCAATCATGCTGTCGTCTATGGGTGGGATAAGACTAAGTATACTGTAATTATGATGTAGAACTCAAAAATGGCTAATGATAGCTATCATTGTTGTCAGCTACTGTACCAAATTATTTTTCACATTATTTTATTAAAAAACTACTGATCTCTATTATTTTTTTTTGTGCCGGGGATCGAACTCGGGACCTTGCGCTTGCGAGGAAGGCACCGGAACCACTGAGCTAAATCCCCGGGCCTCTATTATTAATCTTTCTTTCTCTACCCTGTCTTATGAAATTTCTATGTCTCCATACTTGCTTATAAAAAACATTAAGTCAGAATCATTAACAAGCTTTAACTTGCAGAAGATCACTGAGTGAGAATGTGTGGTGGACCCAGGATTCATGAAGTTCAAGCCTGTCTGAATCTGGATCCAGTTGTCTTAGCATCTATGCTTCAGTTTCCTTTGAATAAATGGTGAAGAGCAGTGAGAGACAATATGCTGGTTCCAGGAATCAGAAAACTTCGTTGAAGGAGAGAGTGTTTGGTATAGTGTCAGAGAATAGGTAGAGTTTTGGCACACAGTGGAAGGGAAAAATATTCAGCAGAGATTCAGATGTGAAAAAAGTATACAGAATTTTTAAAAGAAATAGTAGCTATTATTGAGTTATTAATATATGTTGGGCTTGGCAGGTTCATTACTTACATTAAATTATATTCTCAGATCCACTCTGTAAGAAAAAGATCTTTCTTTTACAAATAAAGAAGTCAAAGAAGTCAAGTATTCCTAATTTGGTCAGTGTCACACAGTAAGTGACAGCAACAGTATTTAAGCCAGGAGGCCATTCTGCCTTCTGATTACCTCCCATAATGGTAAGTGTCGAAGTGTTCAGTGGGATGCCAAGGAAATAATGGGTGGAGTGCCATCCACACACTGTCTTGGGAAGATGATTCCTGTTGTAGTACACTATATAATAGATTGAAGATAGCAGAGGTTAGTCTAAAAGGCCAACAAAGAGGGGGTTATTGAGATAATCCTCTTGAGAGGTGATAAGAACTTGAACAAACTAGTTTGAAGGCAATAGTTTGCGTGTGATTATACAGGAGGGATTTATGAAGTATTAGATTCGGACACATGAGGGGACAGAGATGTAGAGGAATGAAAAATCAAAGGTGCCTGACTACATCAAATAGTTGCATACACTTGGGTCACTTGTGTTAAAACACTTCTTTTTGTACCTGCACCACCTTTATAGTTTTTCATTGACTTAATGCTAATTGAATCCCTAAGGTGTGCCAGATACTGAATCAGTGGCCAGGAGATTTATAATTTCCTATCTAGTTTCCACTGCCACAGTTTGTTTCTTTCCCTTCTCTCATTCTCAACTCCACTGACTTGCCCAGCTGCTGATTCTTTGCTTCCTGCTGGAGTGATCTTTTTTTCCACCTAGCTAAATCAAGACTCCACTGAAGTCAAACTCTCAGATTGCCTTACTTGACCTCTCTAATTTTAACCTCTGTCCTTCCCAACTTGGAAGCAACCATAACATGTAAAAACCTGAATGTCATGGTAGAAACCAACATGGGTTTAAATCCTGGCTTTGCCATTTTACTCTATGAACGTGAGCAGTTAACTTTGCTGAGCTTCACATTCTTTATCTTCCAAATGCAGCCTGTATGTGAGATTAGGTGGCATGCAGTTTGTTCCCAGACGTTACTTTCTCTTCTCCTTTAAGCAGGATACCTAATCTGTTAATGCTTTAGTTACGTGACCATAATGTAAACGTCAGGAGCAGAAGAAGAAACTAGATCTCTTTTTAAAATGTTTCCTGTACTCAGACGCTTGCTAATGACTACTAAGCTTAATTAATATTTACACTTGTGATTAAGAGAAATTAATAAGAAGCTTTTAGAGTTAAACCAAAGATAGGTAAATATTTTTCTTTTGTTCCATTCATGATTTGAGGTTGAGTATTTGCTCTTTTAGTTATTCTTGGGTTTGGAATGCAGGTGTTGACAGGTTATCTTTGGTATATTTTTTATTTCCTCAGTGGTTTGCTTTTATCACATTTTTTATGCATTTCAGTTTTCCCCATAAAGTTTTGTAGATTCCTATAGTGATTAGCTAGGAGGGACCTTAGCTCATCCAGCCAATAGCCATTTTATGATTGTGGATATTGAGCCAGCAGGCACATCCAGGGGTAGAATTCAAGTGGTTTAGATTTCTATCCTCATATTCTTTCTCAGTATACCATGATGTCCATGTTTCTCATAAATTCTTTAATTACCAAGAAATAAGAGAAGAAAGTTTAAAAAGAATGATTTGAAAAAATGTTGAAGGGGGTACAATACTACAGTATTTTTTAGTTTCCTAAGCAATGTAGATAATAGTAAAGAATTGAAAAACCTAAAGTGTGAAACATGCTCCCTATTGATAGGAACTTTGGGGGGAGATAGGAACTTTATGAATGTTACATCTGAGACTTAATCCATAGATTTTTTTGATTTCTACATTTACCTATATTATCGATTCATATGGATATCCAGAAGTCAAGAGATGATTGCAAGTTATAGTTTGGGTAGTAGATTGTGGAAGTAATCATACAGACTTTTATTTTTAGGGACCAAGGTGGTCGGACATTGTGTGGTGTAATGAGGATTGGCCTGGTTGCAAAAGGCTTGCTGATTAAGGATGATATGGACTTGGAACTGGTTTTAATGTGCAAAGACAAACCCACAGAGACCTTGTTAAATACAGTCAAAGAAAATCTTCCTATTCAGATTCAGGTGAGTACAGCTTAACTGCACCTCTAGGAGATTTATGAAAGATGAAAATAGCGAGTGTTCTTGATGAATTTAAAAACAAGAATTGGTAATTAGGTAGGTACAAACAAAGGAATGTCACTTCTTTGGGTCAGTGACTATCACATTTAAAGCACATTTCTGGTGGTTAATACACAGGATATATTTACAAAATTAAGGTGGCTGTTAAGGTACAATCTTAAACTTTTCAGGTGTATCTTGCTGAGAGTGTTCATTTTTTTCTAGACGAGGACCCCCAACATTATAAAAATGGTGGTGAAATGCAGAGAAGAATTGAAAGATCGAAAAGAGCGTAGACAACTAAGAGATTTTTATAGATGATAACTTTAAAGTTGAAGACTCAGCTAATGTAACAGTCACCCATCTGTTCTGTTAATGGAAAGTCACTATTCCTTGTTTCCAAACCTTCTTCACGTTGGGTGCATTTAGACTATTTTAATGTTGGTGTGCTCCCTGGAGGATGCTTCTGAGGCGAGAGGCTCCCCAGGGCTGAAGGCAAGAAGTATGGGGCTCTGGTCACACCGAGACCTGTCTTGCCAGTCTACCCTAAGTGCCAATTAATTGCAGCACTGATCAGAAAGCTGTGATCATCATTCAGTTTCAGATGTGTGTTATAGGCAGTCTAATTATATTACAGCTGTTAGATGATTTCATTGTCTTCATATCTTATGTCACAGAAATAGATGTCCAAACTTTGAGTTGTCGCATGTTGGTTCCTATTTCTTTTACTTCTAAAAGGGGGTCTCTTTTTTTCTTCAAATAACATGAGCACTAAATTTATTTTTGTGATATTGGTTACTGGGTCATTTTCTTTTTCTTTCTTTCTTTTTTATAAGTACCAGGGATCAAACTCAGGACCTTGTGTTTGGGAGGCAGGCGAGGTGCCACTGAGCTAAATCCCTAGCCCAGGATCATTTTCTTTTATATTCACCGATGTGAATTTAAAATTGTCTCTCTGATACTTTTAATCTACACACACTCCCTACCCCCTTTTAGTGGTACTGGGGATTGAACCTAGGATTTCACACTGAGCTACACCACCTCAAAAGTTTTAAATTTTGAGACACTGTCTTGCTAAGTTGCTGAGGCTGGTCTTAAACTTGTGATCCTCTTCCCTCATCCTCCAACTGTTAGAATTACACCACACCCAGTTTATATACTATTCTTTTTTTTTTGGTACCGGGGATTAAACTCGGGACCTTGCGCTTCCGAGCTTCCGAGGCAGGCACCGGAACTACTGAGCTAAATCCCTGGCCCTTATATACTATTCTTAACACTCACATTTATATTACTTGTTGACACATTCTCCTACGTTAATTTTTGAGACACATTTTTCTGTCTTAAATTTTAAAATATTGTACTCCAAGTGGCAGGAAATATTTAGCTTTTCCACATTCAATTTTGATGGAGCAATATTTTCTGATCTTTTATAGTGTTTCTGTCCTCCTGCCCTCCCACATCCCTCCTTCCTTTCCTCTTTCATTCATCCCTTTGAGAGCCTGTGGCTCCCCTGAGGAATGAGTGACATGGAATGCAGTAAAGTTTTGTGAATTGAGAGGCTCAACAAAAGTGATTTCTGACCAAATGCTTTTTGGTATAATATTAGTAAAATTTCTCTTGCATTTTTTTTTGTATTGTTTTAGAATTTAATCTGTATTTCTGTTTTTAGTGTAGGGAACATTATTTTTTAAAATTTTATTTTATTTAAAATTTTTTTTGTTTTTTTTGGGAGACAGGGTCTCACTGTGTACCCCAGGTGGCTTTGGACTTATAGTGATCCTCCTGCTT